CTAACTTGGGAGTATGTTAGTGTTGATTAGTTAATGAATCATCAGTATTCTTTTGTAATAGGCAGGAATTTATTAGCAGGATGTTTTTACTGAATACTTTTGTTTGTTTTCTAAGGGAGCTTAATTTAAACAGCGGTTCCTGATGTAGAGAACAAAAAATATAAAAGTAAGCCAAATATTTGTTAGTTTTTAATGATGTATTCTAGCATTAAGATGATGTTCTCCTCTATTCTGCTGCTTGTTTTTCCTAACAAATTATTAGTTGCAGTAGTATTTTGAATTTGTATGGAGTTTTTCTTTTTTTTTTGTAGCCATTAAAAAAAGAAAAAAAAACCACCACAATTTAAATGTCATAACTTAAACAGGGTATCCTGGGCTTACATGGTGAGACTGTGTATATTATATTTCTCTTATATACATGTGTTATGGAAAAATCTATGTCATGAAGTAATACAAAGGGTATTTGACATTTTAAAAGCTATTTTTTTGAAAATACGTTCTGTCCCCACTGTCACCAATGCCTCTCTCATGTAATAAATCCCAACAAGCATTTTGCAGGGTTTGCTTTACCACTTTTCAGTATGAAAATAGCAATTCAGCAATTACTTCCAAAGGAATTAGAAATATTCTCTCTCTGCCTGCCATCTCTTCGCTATTTCTTGATTTTTTTGTAATGTTTTTAAGAACTTTAAACATGGTATGAATGTATCTTATAAAAATACTTGTTGGGGTGAGGACTGCTCAGAGCACGAAAAATAATTGTTTTCTTTCTGCATATTACAAAAGAGAGCTTCTGCTACTTTTTGCCAATGTGATTATAAAGAGATGGAAATGATTGTAGGTAGAGAAGATACCAGTTAGTGGATGGGGGGGAAAAGTTCACAGGCTTTCAGACAACCAAGAATTTTTTTCATGCCTAGATTAGGTGATGTACCATAAATTAGTTTAACCCCCCTTGCTCTCATAATAAATTCTTAAATATTCTCCATACTCTACACAAAACTTTCTGCACTCTGCAGTTTCACTGTGTTAGTCCAGGATACCCTATTAAGCCATAACTCACATGCTGCCTGCCTTTCATTCAGAAAATAATCATACAATCTCTTATTAATATCCACTGTATTCTCCATGTACCAACTACCTTCCTGAGATTATTACATGTAAAAGCCATTGTTTTTATCTTCTTTTTGGCTTTCAAGTTTTCTATTTCCAGTCTGAAGAAAGGGAGTTAACAGCTTGTTGTGTATGCTCATTTGATTGTTTTCACTCAAACTTGGGTCGTATTTCCTTCCTTTTTAACTTCTCTCTATAATAAACTCTTTTGTCTCTCTTTTCCTCTTCCCTTTTTGGAATGTCCTTGCTTTTACTCCTGTATTAAATGGCTTAATGTATTGTCTACAAGCCTTATTTTGAATCATCCTTATATCATCACAGCTACAAAACCAATACAACAATATTTTATTGAGTTTTATTTAAAAATAGAACGGCATACTTCAGTGTTATGCTTATGATGTATTATGGATTTTGTTCCTTATAAGTTATGAGGTAATATCCTTCATAAATTCTAAGCTTTTAGTCTTAGTCTACAGGCATTCGTGTTTCTTGCCAGCGGTTCATTCTTGGGAACAGAAGAAATAGAATAAAATCTGTTTGTACATAGGCCATTCCAGTTCAGTATGTTTTACTACAGACCAGCATTTTATACAGAAGCTTAGATACTACTTTATTTTTATGTGAACTTTTGGTAACACTTTTGAAATATTTCCCAGTCAAGGCCCAAAGTGTTCAGTAGTTCCTTTTTTTATGTGTGTAAATAACAGAAAATATTCATTTTATATTTTTTTTTAATATTTTGTGAAATGTGTAAATTTCACAAATACCCCTATTTGCCATTTGTACCTCTCTAGCAATTCTTCAGTTCTTAGTTTTGCTCTATGAATATTTTATTCTAATTTTTCTTCTGAAAGCTTTTATATGCCAAACTTACTTTCCTATACTAGCAGATAAATAAGTTTTAATAGTAATATTCTTCTTTTGGTTAAACAGCCTGACAGTAAACACAGAGGAAATCTTCATTGCACTCATTGTGATCATTAAGTCCTACTTCAAACCTTGCAGTATTGCAGCCTAGAGTTGCCCAGCACTAGTTACAAAGTTTGCATTCTGAGGAACAAGAGTGCTACCATAGAAATTCAACCTGCCTTGGATAAAATAAATTGTTGTCTTTTGAGAGCTCTTAACTTCTAGAAAGAGCTCATCTTGTCTGACCAAGAGCAGGACAGCACTCAATAATCTTGTGCAGCATTTTTTCACATTGTTTTGAAATTTGTCTGTGTTTTTCATTAAAACATGATGACATTTCCTTCCTTTTTAACTCATTTCTATAGTAGATGCTTCTGTCTCCCGTTTCTCTTCCTCTTCACATTTTTGAATATTTGTAGCAGTATAATTTTTGCCTTACGGTGATTAAGAGTTTGAGGATGATGTATGTTGCATAGACACGGCGCTTAGGGACATGGTTTAGTGGTGGACTTGGCAGTGCTAGGTTTACGGTTGGACTCAGTGACCTTAAGGGTCTTTTCCAACCTAAATGATTCTATGATTCTGTGCAGTTTAATACTTTGACTCTTAAAATAAGTCTGGTTAATATGCATAAATTGATACTGCCTTTGTTTATCTTGAGAGAATTGCTGTTTGCAAGCAGTGCCTTTAATAAGTCTTTGCTGCAGTGGAATCTCATGATACTTTAAAAATGGCTGCGAAAGAGCAAACAGCTAGATAATCTACAAGGCTGAAAAAATAGGTGGTAACTACCAGCACCTGCTGGTATATTTTGTCTAACTTCCTATTGTCTATACTACTGTTTCATATATACTGAATACTGTGTTTGGACTGATTTTATATATTCAAAGTTATTTTTACATATTTTTAAAGATTCAAAATAAAAGTGTAAAAGTTTTAAGAGGAAAATAGTCACTTCTGTATCCTACCTGACACCTGGTTTTCTTCCTGAGCATGGTGGAGTGGTTTAAGTAGTGATCTACTGGAACTGTCTTTAAATGTTGTTATGCTAAAATCCCTGGAGCAGTTTGGCTAGTCTTTGCTGCAGAATTTCTTTGTCCACACAGAAAGGGTTACATTTCAGGTTACTATAGCATAAAGATTTGTGGAAAAAGCCTCAATATAGAAACCTATGTAAAGTGCCAAAATTCCACTATTAGCAACTTATGTGTAGATGTGTGGTTTTGTCACCTTTGCTCAGCATGTTTGTTTAATAATAACTTAACACTGCTGCTGAGTTGTGTGGTGATAACATACAGGAGTTGTCCAAATGGGAATTTACACGTGTGTGTTATGTGTATGAATTTGCATTTAGTTACTGTGTGCATATTTGCTAACTGTGTCCTGTTACAAAACTTCTATGAAAACATACAAGAAGTCCTTCTGAATAAGGAGGTGATGTAGTCTAACTGGCTAACCTCATAAGAACATGCTAGGTCACTGTTTCAGTTTCCTCAAATCAACAAGCCTTTAACAGACCTGTTTAATGCTCAATGTACTCCATGGGATTAGGGGAGTTACCTGGGGAAGTGAATACCATTCAAGATATTTGAAATTATTGAGAGCTTTGGGTTATCAAAGTGGTATAGACCCCTCAGAGAGGAGGGTGAGGGGGGAGATCCCAGGGTAGAAAAGTTGATTGTCTACTTGCATGAACGCTGGGGAAATTCATCATCTTGAGAAAAGTTTCTTGAAAATAGTTTTGCTTGCTGTGGTGCTTTACCACCTTCTCTTGCAAAATTGCTGTGCATCTGTCTCCTCTCTCAAACTCAGCTACTAAAAAATCCTTACTGAACTTGCTATTGTCTTACCTTGTTATATGGGAAATTTTGGCTCTTTGGTTGGTGTTATGTGCCCTTACTGAGGTTCTTGTCTAATGTCAGATACCACTTCAGATACCACCGGAATAAAAACTGCATTGTAAAAACAGACCTGTTGACAACATTATTTGTGAATTCACATAAATGTATGTGCACCATGAATAGTTAATTTGCTATGCAGTTTGGCATTTCAGATAACAACATAGCATTTAGCTTTGAACTCCTGAGTACATTCGGTATGGAGATATGTAACATTAGCTATTTGCTTCAGGCCACAGATAGTCAAACTTGTTGTAAAGCAGCATTCTACTATTGCCTAGTATTTCATGGATTGGAGGAGTTATGGGTTAACAAGCAATATGAGTTTTGTTTCTAGAGTTGTTCTACAGCAGTATAAGGGTAGGTTGTACAATTTGAAAAAGGCTGATCTTGTCTTGGAGCCTGAAGAACCATGTGCTTTCCTTATTTCTGTCTGACTTCTGGCAGACGACTTCCCATATTGGCATATTAGCTTCCTCATTTCCAGAATTTTAGAAAACTGGTCTGCTTCATGGGAATATGATGCAAAACTAATTTGAACATGTAAGGTACTCAGTTAACCCATTTTCTGTAATTTAAAAACATAAATTACTAGGAACTGTAAGGTGGTAGAAAACAGAATAACTACGTGTTATACTTCACCTGGAAGCATATAATGAAATTAACATGTCTGGTTTTTAGTTCATTCTGTAAAAGTATTGTGGGGGTGTGTTTAAACTGAAAAAAAAAAATATTGGGGAGAAGGACATCACATTCCCATAACTGGTTTGCAAAATAGTTGGACTGTTAATTACCATCATGCTGGCACAAAGAATCTTTAGAATGCTGTTGCTTTTTTATTGCTTTTGCAGAAAGATTCTAACTTCAACTTTTTTCTGCTCCTAAATCCTTCTCAGTAGATTTCTCAGTTGCTTCCCCTAGAAAAAAATGAACAGTTTAAGATGCTTTATGAAAACTGCAATCTGTTGGTCACTCAAAGTAGAACATCAACTTGGTCAGGACTATTTGCCCTGTTTTTCTTCCTGTACCTTAAGGAACTGCATTTAATAGACTGAGATTTACTGCTTTTTGTATTCACAGGACTGTGCTAAAGAATAATGACTTGAGATCAAGACAAGAATTAACTACTCACCTCACCAATCAGTGGCCTTCCCCAGGAGCTCTGGATGTCAATGCTGTTGCCTTGGACACTCTACTCTATAGAAAGCACAATCAACAATGGGATGAGTAAGTTGAATATTTATTTTGATTCACCTTTAAAGGAACAGGGAAACTCAAAATTTTATCTTTCCCTTAGCATACTCTGAAGTGTACTCTATCGGAATTATCTCTTACAATGTACAAGGATCAGCTGGCAGAAAAAAAATCAGTTTATCTCACCATAAAAATTTCCTTCCTTTGGATTAATTAAAAAAAAGGAAGTAATTGCTTTAGGAAAAAACAGTGTTTTAGGAAACAAACAAAAAAAATAGAGTATTTAGGAGAAGAAAGATTAACTGCCTAGGTTTTTTTAGAAGACTTTTTAAGGACAATTGAAGATACCTAGTTAGATCTTTAAATATGTTACTATTAAATATTACTTGGTTTGCAGGAAGAGTTTTCAAAGTCTGGACCAACTTTCAGCAGAAGTTAGTCTTTCTCAGTCCTCTCTGGATCCAGGTCACTCACAGGATGGGAAGCAGGATGGAATGAACTTATTAAATGAAGGTACAGAGCCAGTCTAGTGGCTTCATTTTATTTTATTCTTCATAGCTCTGATCTTCAGTCCCTGTGAGATGAATTTTCAGTGTGAACAAAATATACATTGAACAGCATATTTTTTCATTGTTATGCAAATTGTTTCAGTTTCCCTAAGGACTATACTTCAAATAAGTTTGCATTTATGAAGATGCCCGCACCCCAATAATGTAAGACTTTGTGCTGTATTTAAAGCTAAGCTTTAGATACGTTGCATATCTTCCTTCTCCATCATGGAACCAGAGACAGCTCAGCTACAAGGAGGATCTTCTGTCATCTTTCTGCTATAACTAACTTAAATCTTTTGAGTTTTTTAAGTTTCCTTTTTTCTTTCTTAAAAGAAAGATTAAAGGCACCAGATTTGCAACTACCACTGTCATGCTTACATCTTGCATTCAACATTTATCTGTGGAGATGCAGCCTGACAGTGTTTCTGTTAAAACAGAGAGGGGAACGTGATATGAACCATGCCTGTATATAAATGTAATATACACAAACACAGCCCCTTTCAAAATCTTATCAAAGTTGAGCTGCTCCATCTTGTGGGTGACTGTGAAAAGCAGAAAAATGCTGAAAGACTTCTGAAATAGTAGTATTTTGGGTACAGAACAAACTGCTATAAAAGTCCTTTTTGTACCTCATCAAATGTTAACTTTAAATAGACTTGACAATACAGAGCCTTAGTAGTTGATAACTGTAAAATTTCTTGGTTTTAAAATATCAAGGATGTAAAATTTAGAACTTTTTTTAAAACTGTGAACAGTCTTAAAATCTAAATTATTTCAAGTTAGCTTAGAGAAAGTGAAATAGAATCAGCATGGCTATTATGAAGAGATTTCTTGTGCAGATCTACTTTCAACTGGTTTTTTGCAATGTTAATCATTTGAAGTTATGCTTTGTTTTATCTTCTGTAAATAAAGGTGTGGCAAAATCACTGATAATAATAGTTAAGGTTTTGATTTCAAGACTCTATCTTTAAAGGTATCATAACATCTCAATTCTAAATTACTGAAGTTCATCAGTACCTAAGCTTTAATATAATTTTATAAGATGGTATGTGATCCTGCTGTTAAAATACCTCTGGTCTAACTCTCAGTATGGCAGTTTTAATTAAAAGATTAGAAGTAGTAAACTTTCACAATACTATTAAGCCCACTCATGTAGTCAGATTTTTAGCTGCACACTTGTTGAAGTCAAGGGCTGTCCCCAAACAGTGTTACACTGCTCTTCGTGTATTTTATGTCCTCCAACTGAATGTAGTCTTTAAAGGGTAGTTTTTATGGGAATAAAGAATTATTGGGCAGGGCATGATTTGGGTTGTTTCATTTTTTTCTGACATCCTTGTCATGAGAATAAAACTTTTCTGTCAGGAACAGGAGACGCAATTTTAAGAAATGCTACTTTATAGGTGTGATTTAAAAAAAATCTGGTAGACTGGTTTATCAATAAAATCTTGTGCCTGTGACCTTTTTACGTTCATTTTAATCTCTAGTTTAAGGTGATCTTTTTTATTCTGCAGGTGAGCCAGGAGGATGAAATAGGGAGATGCTTGTAGATCAAATTCTTTTATAATGTAATTTATTAGCGGAGTTGTCACAAAATAACTTGAATGGATCTTCTGAGAAGGAAAGACATAAAATAAATAGAGAAATTGTCCAATGCAGTCTTATACCTATAGGTATGTTTCACATTAACTGTCAAGTGTATGTGGATGACACGGCAGATACTTGCACTGCTGCTCCTGCACTGTAGGGCTTTTTCCAGTGGTCGGAGCCTAATGCACTTCAAATTACCAAGGTTTAAAAAACAAAACATGTTTATTTTTAAAGAAATATATCCTGATTCCAGTTAATTCTACTCCCTTCTGAGGGATTTAAAATTACATCTCTGGTACTGATATTGTATTAGTAGCATCACTCCCATTTATACATAATGTACTCAACTAAAACTGGTGCTTGAGTTAGTAACTTCAGTTCACCATGTAGTCAGCGGAGTCTCTGAATCTCCTTCTGTAGGAGACTGACTACAGCCCAGCCTGCAGTGCATGGGTAGGGATCTCTTTACCGCCTGGACAGGGAAGGTATGGCATAAATTACGTGCCTTCCTAATTGCATTTATGAAGTATGCGTGTGCTGAAGCACTAATAGGTAATTCATAATAGTGTAGATGAAACATTTTTTTCTATTCCCTCTTTTTTTTTTTTGTGGTCAGGTCATCTTGTGCTGTAAAAATTATTAGCTTAATTCTTGATTTTCTTAACAGGGAAGGAAGACACTCCATCATTGCTTGGTCTTTGTGGCTCTCTTACTTCAGTAGCAAGCTACAAATCTCTCACAAGTCTGAAATCAAGTGAATATCTTGCAAGTCCCACAACAGAGATGACAAGTCCAGGCTTAACACCATCTTGAGATACACGCAAGAAGGAAGAGCTTTGTGTTGTATGCATTTGGTTTATGTTCCATAAAATGACTTGCAATGAAGACTGCTAGTTCTGAGTTAAAAAATAAGCTGCTTTATTTTTCTTTTCATGGTTACCTGTTTAATTCACAAATTCTGTCAGTTTTCATTCAAACTTTTTTTTCCCCCAGAGGACTTTTCAGATGTTCTATTTTAGTCTTGAATTATTTAAAGCTCTTGATCAGGTAGCGGACATATAATCTGATGCTTATGACTGATTTTTAAAATGAAACAGTTGCAAATCAGTCCCCTACTTAACTGCCACGACCTTTGTTTCTCTTTGCAATGGCCTGGCCCTACTCCAGCCACGGTGCTTCTCTGCAGTGCTTTAAATATCTATCAACTGTTGCAGAACAGACAGGGAATCCTTAATGCCAGTCTTTGTAGGCAAATAAATATTTTACCTAAAAATCCAGCTTTTCATCTGTGTATGTGGCATAGGACCTCAAATAGCATATTTAACCTATCAACAGCTCTTCTGAAGTTGACTCAATGTTAGATTTTGCATTCTTGTTAGTATCATGGCACTTAGGAGATGTCTGAATCACACTGAAGAATCACACTGAAACACTCCTACTAATTCTTGAAGTTGCATGTGAATAACAAATGTAAGTTGATCATCTAAGTCAAGCATACTTAGCGATTTGTAAATGCTGAGGAAACTCACTAAATGCTTTTGAGTGACCTGAGTTACAGATAATCAAACATTATACAAGAAACTTCTTGGTTTATTGGCCTTGCTGGAAAGATGGGAACTAAGGATGGTGGAGTTAGCACCTTGGGAAGTTTGGATTGTGTGTTTATTGGCAAGATCCCAAGGAGAGTGAAAAAGGGGAAACAAAGACAATGTAATGACAGTATTCTCATGTTAAAGATTTTTCTCATTCCTGTAGTAGTGCAATAGGTATTTTTTCTTGATTAGGTAATACCGCAGAACTTAAATTTAAGTCAGTTTTCTCAAATTACTTGCCATTGATTTAAATTACTGAAGGGGGAGGGGGGAAGGGAGACATTTTTTAAATGAAACTAACTTTCCAGGATTATCCTACAGTTTCAAAGTTTGCAAATTAATTTTTGAATTGCAAACTATATTCTTAATTCTTTGTAAGATACAATGGATCCTTTATCTATGAATTTTGCTAATCAAGGTAATGCTTATCAGTATGATTAGTAACTTTTTAAACAAAACTTAAATGCATGTAAGTACATTGTATTTATAAGTGCTAGGGAAGATGCTTTTTTGTGCCAAAGAAGTTTCATAAATTGTTTACACGAGTAGTTGCAATACAAGACAGATTTTTAATTATTGCTTACTCTTAGATGTTTACAGTATGTCACTACACTGTATGGTTTTAGTTGATTTGCCTCTTGTAACGGTACCTTGGCACTACTACTATAATCTCGTCATTTTAGGATGGGCTTGAAAGAGAGAAGATTCATTCTTACCTTTACTAAAAACTACAGGAAATGTTTAGCCTTTGTAAGTATGAGGCTTTGCATCTCTGGAATGCAACGCAGTTGGATTTAGCTGGAGGAGGTTCCAGATACATCTCCTCAACTCTCCAGTCCACAGTGCTGGAGGTCATTGCATCCATGGCAGGGTAAACAACTACTGATGCCATTTTAATGCAGATTTTTTAAGCAGCTTAGCCAAATCCACCAGACCTTGTCTTTCAAGCCCTCATGTACCCACTCAGTTAATTTCTTTGTAATAAACTGACCATTAAATCCTTTCATACACTGTCAGAATGTCCATTACTTCATGTAACTGGTTTTTTTGTTATCACATTAAGCATCTGTTCTCTCATGGCAGTTGAGTAACATTATTAAATACTAATTTGTAAACTAGAGATGCATTTTTACCTCAAATACAGTGAAGGAATCTGGATTCCACAAGTTAACATTCTACATCAAGGTACAGTGATTTAATCGGTCTTGTTTGCTGTTAAACACTTCTACATCCCACTACGTCAGTATTTTGGAGGGGGCTATAATCATGATCTTCAGTCATGTTTGCTGATGGCTCTTTTCTTGGAGCTACTGGTGTGAAATTCATGTGTCATTTAACTGAAGTCTTTTACGTAGTCTGACACCACTGTGAGTTTCTGGGTGTCATTTTGTGCATGGGAAATCAGTTATGTGTGTCTTTCTCAGTTATAAACGTTCATCATTTTTCAAAAAAAATGAAAAAAAATGCCGAAATTGTATGTTTTGTTGCCTTGACGTTCCATAAATGTTGCATGTAAATTAAACATTTTGTATCATCACTAATCACTAGGGTTTGCCTCTGTTTTAATCAGACAGGATAAAATAAGGCCATTTGACAAATTATAGTATTATTGAGCTTATAGCAAATTCTTTTCTTGCAAAACAGGGAGACTTTGTTTTTGTTGCTATATTTCATTCAATGTGGTCCAAAATCTGCTGTTACTTGCTTTCTCTTAGGCTTTATTTTGAGTTTCTAGTGTAAAATTACTTTGAAAAATCACAGTGGGGGAACAGTGTCAAACATCTATGGCAGTACCTCTTGCCTGCACTGTATGCAGTAACTTTGTACCTGATGTCTTTACAGCTAGACCATTTTTCAGTGCATGATGAATTTTCATCAAGGCCAAACATGTGCTGGGATACCTTCTGCATGGTAGAACAGGACTGAAGTCCATTTCTTGGGTAAAGCACGCCCCCTCATTAAAATACACAAACCATATAAAATTCAACCACTTCATTGAAAATGCATGGAAGAAAGGATGTAGTGAGGGTAGTTACAAAATAATTTAAAAAAAAAAAAAATCATACAGAGGAAGCTGTGATTCAGTAAGTTAAGTGCCTATGGGCAAGGGAGACGCTGCAACTGTTCATACCACGCATGTGCAGCACACACGTGAGTAGCAGACAGGGGCTGTGTCTACAGCAGTAAAGTAAATGTGCTCTTCCCTTCAGATAGATACATGGCTGAGTCAAACTGGCATGGAACCACCTGTGTTTATGCCAGCAGACTCAGCCTTCAAAACCAGGTGATCCCATACAAACTGGGTATGGGGAATGCTCCCCCCCTCAGGGAGCATGGCCCTGCCTTGGAGCTGTGTGACAGTGACAGCTTGCACTTCCCAAAAACATGCGAGGGAGCGTTCTTCCAAAACACATGTACAGGCAGTTGTCTTCAGTGCTGGGTGTGCTTTAGAGTATTACCTTAAACTAAAAAGCCACTGCAGCACCTCTTAATGTATTCACCATGCTCTCTGGGTTTCTAATGAGCATGATGTACTTTTTCCAGTTTTACCTAAAGCATTTTTCATTTTAAATAAACCTGAGAAGAAGCCGAAGACTATTTTATAATATGCATTTACACAAAATATAGAGCTGCAAATAACAAACATGCACAGAATTAAACATGTATTAAGCAATAATAAATAAGCATTTATTGAATTCATTCTATATCAACCTCCTTATGGAGGAAGAATTGTATTGTACGATTGGAAGCCCAAAACATTTTCTAAACATCATTTTAAATACCCAACAAAAATGTTTAGTCAGACTGAAAATTAACACAGTGACAGTGGTTATTCTTCATTGCTCTGTCTGGCCTCTATTTTTTTTCCCCTTTTAATCATCACTGAAGAACAGTCAGAGCACATTCCCCCGCCCCCCGCCGCCCTTCTTTCTTTCTTTCTTTTTTCTCTCTAGCTACAAGACAAGTCACAAAATCTTCAATGATAGCTTACGGGTCATGTGTATTTTCTTAGTCTTAAGAAAAAAGTGAACTTATCCTGTGTGAAACAGTTGTTTTTGTGAAGTTGTATTTGGTTACCAAATGTAATCGCAGAAATTCACTGGGAACTCTAGAAAATGCTTTGAGAGATTCAAATTTGGCACAACCTTCACCATATATTTTGACTTCATACAATCGGAAGAAGGAGAATCAAGGGCATTGGTTCATTTTTTCATTTAAATGAGAAAAGAAAGACTTTCCGTATTCATATGTGCTGATCATTATGGCACAAGCAGGAGCAACTTTAAACAGCCGTGGAATAATACCTGCCCAGAAGAGAAAGGAAAGTATTCACTATAATTTGTTTTCAGACTGAAGTGCTGTAGTACCATTTAGTGGTCATACTATATTGATGCCATAGTATATCAGCGTAGAACTGGGATTCTACCTGTCCAAAATACTAAAATTACTAGCTGTAGGTATTACCACTGTAATAATCCTATGACACCGTGTGGCCTGCCTGCCTTGCGTCCATTGTGTCTCTGCCCCTTCTGTCTCTCCGCGGAGGTGGGACACCTTGACCTGCAGGGCTACTTTGCTCCAGCACAGAAGAGGTGGCCCTGGGGGGGACAGACTGTGCACCCTCCCCTAAGTGTCACTGCAAACTTGCTGCTTGTGTGGGACAAGCAGAGGCTTTTGAACTCTCGGGTGGGACAGCAAGAGGTTCAGGAAGCCCTGAATCCTGAAATGGAAAAAGTCAGAGAGGAAAGGGCTCAAGTATCACGCTGGGCTGTACCCTCTGCTGTAGGTATGTGCCTCAGCCCTTCAAGCCAACCATTAAGTAAAAAGCGTGATACTCTTGCCACTGTCTCTGAAGACCTATAGCACCTTTACTAAAATGGAAGGATCCTGGTCACATGTATAAACGACAGAATTTAGGTGTTAAATGTCTCCCATTAAAATCAACTGTCATCTTGTCAGTGGAGTTTAGAAAGTGATTCAGTTTACTTAGAGGTAGGAGAATAAGGCTGAATCCACATGTCTACACATGGCCATCTACTTCCACTCGAAATGCAGACATTTATCTGCATGGAGCTAGCACAGATGCATGACTTATGGAAAACTTGTGTCCCTTTGGAACAGTAGCAAGAAGCCAGGCAGAATACCCCCAGTCATCTCACCTACATGTGGGTGACTGAACTGAGATAGTGGCTGATCAGGTGAACCTCTCTACGCTCCATTACTCATATGTCAAGACCTAAATGTAGGTATCCTAATCTGTGAACTAAATTCCACCCAAAGTGTCTAATAATATCAATGCTTTGTGGTGTCTTGCATTCTGCTGGCATCAGTGCTCTGAAATATGCAAATCCTGTTACCCAGCTATGTTACCCATTACTGTACAGCAAGTAAAGCAATTTATTCTCTTTCAGCGAACACAAACAAGTCTTGCAAGTCTTCAACCAACTGTATAGCCATTCAAACAAAGAACCCCAATGAACCAATGCAGTGCTGTCAAGACTTGTAAGTATCCTGGGTTTGGAATGTCTCCCA